GGTTAAAGAATAAACAGTTAAACAGTATTGGCAGCAACCGAATGAATTTACTAAGCAATCTAAGTGAAATTACGAGTAAATTTATCATCAAGTTAAATATGAAAAATATTAAACTTATTCGTTGCGTAGAGTATAAACCTCATTCTGCAACGATGCTACAATCTCACGTAGAGCTGATACCTCACCACGTAAAGTAGACACCTCAACACGCCATGCACCATTGTCATCGCGTAAAGTACCGACCTCCTCACGCAAGGCATTGACCTCATTACGTAACTCCCCTAACTCATCCCGTGGAGGTGGAGGTGGAGGTGGAGAATAGGGAGATAAACGTCGTGGCATCTTTGCCGGTCGCCTATCATGAGGTGATGGTGGAGAAGAGGCTCGACGATGTGACAGAATAGGTGATGACTCTCATTGTGGAGGTGTATATTCGGGTCGATCAGGTGATGACTCTGGGTGAGGTGATGGCTCTCGAAGTGGTGGCTGCTCATCATCCGTGCCATAAAAAAAAGCTTACTAGCTTGCCACCAATCAGTGGCAAGCTCAGCTTCCGTGGGTGTCAGCCTCTGTAATGGAGTGTTGGCCTCCTAACAATATAAAAGCTCAAACAAAGTTAAACTTGTACTAGTAATAACTTGTTTATAAACATATGGTAGTATTTGTGTTAACTTACATTATTTATTGTAATATACAGTAGTAAATCTTCCCATTGCTGCAAGGACCGTTTCCTCTTCCAGGAAATAGCCCTAGGAATATCATTAAAAGTTTTTAATGCATATGTCTGCATGGCGGGAAAGGCCTCAAATATCCAAATCTACAAACAATATAATAATAAACATTAGTAATTGTTAAAGAATTAATTATAATTTTGGAAACATTATATAAAAAATTATTACCTTAAAGGCCCAAATAAAGTCTGACAAAGTGTATTTGGAACCATCGCCACGCAAACTTTTTCGATCATTTAAAGGCAGACGACAACTTATTCCATGTAGCTCTCCATAGATACGAACCCCACGGAAACAAGTTCCATGTATTTAGGTCCTCTACCAATTTAATTAGATCATTAGGAATAGGTTTTCAGGCCTCTCTGCCTAAAAAACCGGCTTGCAAAAGTATTACAAGGCATACTCGGACAACATCGATGTCATCCATCCGAGTAAAACCATTTTTCTTATTCAATAATCTCGTCAAGTCTTCCACGTGTAAATTCGACTTCTCCGTTGACAGCTCAGGAAAAACCCGGGAAAACCATGATAGGCGGGTAATATGTCTAGTGTACCGATCTACATCATCGTGTCCGAAGCGTAGACCGGTGATTAAGCAAAACTCCTCCCGCCCAAAACACGTATACGCCGGTGGAAAATCAAACCGTATCTCTTCATCACGACGTTGTATAGTATCTGGTAGATCGCTAGTCATGGTTTGAAGAAACAGATGGGTCAACATAGCATCTCCACCCGGATGTTGTACTTTCAGCCATGGCCCGAAGCAAGTATCCTCAAATATTTTTCTTTGTGCAGGTGAAAGCTTCGACGCAATTGTTTTGGCCAGGCTTACTTTATTTCTTAAGGTCAATTGAGCCGAATAAAAGTTCTGCAAAAACAATAAACATACCAATTTAGATATACCAAAAACTACACTGTGAAGATATGAACAATAAACATAAAAAGTAGTAGTTTATTCTTCAAACTTAAATTTGCAACACTGTGAATTTAGTATTTGTTTTTTGGTTGAAGTAATGCAATTCATTCAAGTTTCAATTTGCAGAAGAAGAATAGTTTCTGAAACTTTAAATCGCAACACGAAAATGACTATCGCAACGCGAATTTGACTATCGCAATGCAAGAATCGCAACGCGAAATGAAAATCGCATTGCGATAGTCATTCTCGGTTTCAAATACTAAAATTGAAAGAAACTTGAATGGATTGCATTACTTCAACCAAAAGACAAAACAAAGACAAATACTAACTTCACAGGGTTAAAGACTAAACAGTTTAGCAGTATTGGCAGCAATCGAATGAATATAATAAGCAATCTAAGTAAAATGGTTAATCTATTATTGAAAACACCAGTAAACTTATCATCAATTTCAATATGAAAAACCTAATAATAATGCAAAAATTTCAAAATAAAAATAATTAAAAAAACTAACCCTCGGTGGTTGATTTGGTTGATTTTCCATTTCTGACCGTGAATGATTTTGTCGGAGATGGAGACTGATATCGTCGGAGATGGGGACTGATTTCGTCGGAGATGGGGACGGATGTCGCCTTAGAGAGTGAGAGATGGAGATGAGACTGAGTTGTGATTTAGGGTTTTAGGTTATGAGTTACGATTACGGGATATACTGTGGACGGTTCAGTGTTCCGATATATTAATATTCGTGTTTGGAATTTGAAAAAAAAAATACGCGTTGGATACGAATGGCGCTATGTAAATCACATTGCGATAGTCAGATTCGCATTGCAATTTACGTATTCGCATTGCGATTTACGTATTCGCATTGTGATTTACGTATTCGCATTGCGATTTTCCAAATTCGCGTTGCGATTTACGTATTCGCATTGCAAATTAGGAAAATCGCAACGTGAATTTGGAAAATCGCAATGCGATAGTCAGAATCGCGTTGCGAATCTGGAAACTGATTTGCGATACCGGAGATCGCGTTGCGAATTATCGATCGCATTGCGATTTAGTTGGTCATTTTGGCAAATCCAAAAAAAGTTTGTTAAAATCGTATATTATAAGGTATTTTTAGTCACTGAGGTTATTTTCTCTAATAATTAATAGGTGCATTCTAGACTGGTTCCAATATATATTCATGTTGAGAGTAGGTTAATATTCAAATTCACCCTTTGCAATCACATGAATAGGGATGAGCATGAATATGCCAGATTTTTTGTTGTTCTAATTCTAACTTAAGATATAGAACTCAATATTTAGTTTCGACTCATTTCAGATTGTTAAGAGTGTTTTATCTTTTCTGAATCCACTCTAAAATTGGATATATATACTCATCTTTACTATTGAAAAGTCATCTCCGACCAAGGAATTCTCTTGGATAAGAATATCATGTCCCATGGTGATTTTATGTTTTCTGCATTTCGACAGTGTCTTTATTTTTCTTTTTACAAATAAAATGGGGGTGATTACAAGTTTATATTTAATTAAAATTTTCTTAACCAATCGACAACACATACACACCCTGCAGATGAAACTGTTCAAATCCAATACCTCATAGAAGAACAACATTTGTTTTTATCATTGAGACCACTTAATGATTTAACCTATGTTTTTCTCATCGTTTGTGTAAAGGTTTTGGGACACTCAAGTCATGTGGGTCAATGTTTTTGAGGTCTTAACCCAATTCTTGTGAGCCTATGCTAATCTTCTCTCTCCTTGTTTGAATGAATGGGTGCATTACAAAAAGTTCATGTCCTTCTCCCACATCTAAAATGGTTGAAATTGAATGGGCAAGGTTTGGGCATTTATAACACTTGAATTCTCTCCCATGAACGCATTCATCATTCCACTGCATCAAGTTGGTCAAACCATGTTAACTCCATCATCCCCACACTAAATTCTAGGTTTCTGATCTCATTTCAATCTCACTTTTCACCCAAGATTATTGTCGGTTGAAAGTGACAAGAAAAGGGTGCGCAAGTCCAAGTTAAACTACATCAGTTTGAAACTTTAAAAAAACAAAAAAAAAACTATATCACTTTGGTATACCATAAAAGAGTTCAAAGGCTGAATTAGTCTCAGCTCTTTAAACTTAGGTATTGGGGATGAGAATTGAAAAACAATCAGTTTGAGTGAAGAAGTGAATACATACGTACCTACCTAGGTTAATATAAAAGCATGCAAATAAAGGCAAAAACACGTGTTTGAAAGCAAGCACGTCAGTATCTAACGCAGTTCCCGGAGCTTGAAAATAGGCTAGGTTCCATAGGCGTGGAGAGTAAAGGCTGCACTTGTTCTTCTTTTTTACTTTACTTATATTAACCTAATTGCTCACTTAATCCCATGTGCAAATTCAAATTTGTCATCATGAATCCATAAACCTGTAAATAATACTTAAAGTATATGCCAACCTCAATGTTGTTGTCCCCTCCCTTCATAGCCAAGAGCTCCGCAGCATTAAAAAAAAGGTCGTTTTGTAAGTTTACCGAGAATCGTTCTAAAAAATGAAGTGTAATAAATGAATTAAAGCTTCTTCGATTTGAAGGAGCATTTCTCTCTACAAAAAGAAATGATTTCTATACAAGGAAAGGAAGAACACTTCCACTCTGTTCATCGTTCATTGACAGGCTAAGACGATATATTGTTCATTTATTATGATGGATGTTTACAAAGAACAAAGACAGCATCAGGTAGGTTGCTTTAACCCATTGCCAATGCTACCTACCTGCACTCAATATCTTTAACCCCCAATATCTACCCTTTTTAATTAACTTACAAATTATCATTCCTTTCATTCTTCTCTCATAACTAAAATAATTTCATTCGTTAGCAACTTCAGATTCTATTACTGATGAAATCTGACATTTTGAATGACGGTGTAATGATTTTAAAATGAAGTGTCAATATAATTTTTTTAATATTTATTGTATAAAACTTTTAAAAGATTTGTTTTTCCTTCAAAAAATTGAATATCCCAATCAATAAGACAATAACCTGGCTCTGTCAATGAATTTTATAAATAAATAAAATAATGTGTATCTCTTAAATATATTTAAAATGTAAAAACATTATTCTAAAGAAATATCATTAGAAAAATAATTTTCTAAATAATAGATTTCATAAGGACATTCTCGTCATTTCCGTTCACGGCACAACTCGATTAATATCCCGCCATCTTCTTCCCTCTCGCCCTAAAAAATTAGAAAACAAAAATGAAAGCTCCCAACAACTCCAAATCAAACTGAAAACAGTGTTAAAAAAAAAGAGCTGTTGGTTTCAGATTATTTGGCTAAAACAAAGGAGCCAGAGTATGGCGAGCCGGTGGGTCAAATCTTTGCAATGCAAGTCGAAAGCATATGAAGATGTTTATCACCCCGGCGGCCACAGGCATTTGATTCTCAGTTCCAGTTGTACACAAAGTTCTCAGAGGATCAAGGACGTCATCGGAACGGCCAAGAAAAAACCCAAGAAATCCGACCCCAAACCGCGTTCAAGGTCAAGCAGTAAACCAGAGTCCGAGTTGAATAATCCTCCGCCTCGACCTCGCCGGAGTAGTTATATCCCTGCCCGTGACCTTGTCCTACCAGAACTGACCGAACTGCCCGAGGGTCACCCTTCCAGGAATGTCGTAGAAATTATTTTTCATACGAGTTGGAGCCCCAAGGCTTTCACGGGTCTGATCGAGATGATTTTTAAAGTTCAAAATGGACCCAGGACGATGACCGGGTTCGAGGAATATCGAGAGACTGTTAAAACTCGGTCCGGCTCATGCTCCGGTGGTCCGGCTTCGGCTAAGGAGGAAAATGCGAGGTGCGTCGCTGATGGTAACGAGGTGATGCGCTTCCATTGTTTGGGTCCCACTTTGGGGAACTGCCGAATGAACGACAAGTGGATATTTTCCGGCGGGAAAGGTGCTTCCATTTGCACTTATTCCGGTAGCGGCGCCGCCCACGATAGCGCTGGAGGTGGGAGGGGGAGGAAGGCGATGCTGGTCTGCAGGGTTATTGCTGGCCGAGTGTCGAAGCGGGTTGGGTCCTTTTACGAACCATTGGTTAATGGCCGAGTCGGGTACGACTCAGTGAGTGGAGACAACGGCGAGTTGCTCGTTTTTGATCCACGTGCAGTATTGTCGTGCTTTCTTATTATCTATAAATTGTAAAGGGTAAAAATACAATATTGGTCCTCCAAATATAGGGTGATTTACTTTTACGTACATTGACTATGAAAAATATAAATATATGTTCTTTAAACACCCTGTGGTTGTCGACAAGGAAGGCCAAGGAACATAAAGAATCGTGGTGGTGGAACGACGATGTCCAAACTAAGGTGAAGACAAAGCAAACTTGTTTCAAGGAGTTTCTACAATGCAATGACGACGAAGAAAGGTCGAGAGCTAAACAAAGATACAAGGAGGCAAAGCGGGGAAGCCAAGAAAACGGTTGCTAAAGCAAAGGATAAGGCATACGAGGAAATGTACAAGAGATTAGACACCAAGGAAGGACAAAACGGCATATTCAGGCTTGCAAAATCTAGGGAGAATAGGAAAAAGGATCTAGGTAGCATTAGATTTATTAAGGACAACAATGGTGTTCTTATAGCGAAAGATCGTGATATTAAGAGGGTTTGGGGGAATTACTTCTTTGATTTATTTAATGACGGTGCCTCTTCCTGTAGAGAAAGTACCGTTTATGGGTCATCCGACCATCATACATCGGCCAATGACTGCCCTACAAGTAGGATTCGGTTTGAGGAAGTCAAAATGGCTCTTAGAAAGATGGGAAGGGACAAAGCTGTCGGTCCTGATCAAAATTCCTATCACTGTGTGGTTGGCCCTAGGAGAAGAGGGAGTTAAGTGGTTGACCAACATCTTTAATATTATTTTAGAGACTGCCAAGATGCCAGAGGAGTGGAGAGAGTCCACGGTGATACCAATCTATAAGAATAAAGGAGATCCCCAACGTTGTGGTAACTACAGAGGTATTAAACTACTCAGCCATACCATGAAGCTATGGGAAAGGGTGATAGAGGCTAGGTTGAGACAAGTTACTAGGGTTTCGGAAAACCATTTTGGCTTTATGCCAGGCAGGTCTACCACGGAGGCGATTCATCTACTTCGACGACTTATGGAGAAATATAGGGAAAAGTCTAGAGATCTTCACATGGCGTTCATTGACCTTGAGAAGGCTTATGATAGCGTTCCCCGCGATACGATCTGGAAGACTTTGGAAACGAGACGGATCCCAACTATTTATATCCGGACGATTCGTGATATGTATTGTAGATCTACTACATACGTCAGGACTACAGTTGGCGACACCGAGGCTTTCCCGGTGGAAATCGGACTCCACCAGGGGTCGGCTCTTAGCCCTTACATCTTCGCCTTGATTATGGACGACATCTTTTGTGCGACACCAGACGGTGTACCATGGTGTATGCTTTTCGCTGACGACATTGTCCTAGTGGCTGAAACAAAATCTGAGTTGAATAGTAGACTGGCTACCTGGAAGACTGCTTTGGAAGAAAAAGGTCTAAGGATCAATATTGATAAGACAGAGTATTTATGTTCAAACTTCAGTAGGGACCAAAACGAAGACGATGTAGAAGTATGCATAGAAGGACACGTTCTCCCTTCAAAGGATTGTTTCAAGTACCTAGGGTCTATGATACATAAAGATGGGGGTGTAGATGATGACGTTACACACCGTATTAAGGCGGGATGGCTAAAGTGGAGGGCCGCTACTGGAGTTTTGTGTGACAAGAAGGTGCCTCTAAAACTTAAGGGAAAATTTTATAGAATGGCAATTAGACCAGCACTATTGTATGGATCAGAATGTTGGGCAACCAAGAATGATCATGTAAGGAGGATAGAGGCCGCAGAAATGAGAATGCTTCGGTGGACATGCGGTAGGACTTTGTGGGATATGACAACAAACTCTGCTATTAGGATGTCCTTGGGGGTGGTGCCTGTTTCCGAGAAATTGAGGGAAGGAAGACTACGGTGGTTTGGGCATGTCCTCAGGCGACTACCATCTGATGTGGTCAGGAGGGTAGAGTCGATTACAGTCGACGGTGCCAGAAGGAGAGGGCGACCAAGGCGGAAGTGGGAAGACTGCTTGAGATCTGATTTGATGGATTTAGCCCTTACCGAGGACATGACCTCTGATAGGAAAGTATGGAGACTTAAGACTAGGATAGTCGAGTAGTGTGGGTCACATCTCTAGGGTGTATCATCTCTGTCTTCTTTTAATGCCTTTGTAGTAATTTACATAACTTCTACTTTTTATCCGTTTCTGTTATTGGTATTTATGAAGGCTTAGAACTGGGCTTGCTATCGTTTGACTTCTGTGTATCATTCTCTCCACTTTTAAATTTAGTCGGGTCTTACGTTTCTGTCTATATACAAAGATTACTGCCCATTACAGACGCGCATATGATATTAATGATATTAATGACTGCATATGAATACTGTATAACTATGTATTTATGTATTTATTTATACATGCATTGCATTTTATCTATATTTTTATTTTTCTGACTGCCGGAGGTCTTCCACGGAAGCTACTCTCAACCTGGCGTTGGGGGCAGCCTACTACCCTACCTCCCCCTTACCCCATTGCATATGGGAATTGGATTTTGTTGTTGTTGTTGTTCTTTAAACTCATGGGAAAGATGTTCTTTAACCTTGTTGACGAATAACGCAATCATTGAGTGCGCAATGTTCAACTCTTTCTCTACAGTGACAACAATTCTACATTTCAGATTAAAAGAAAAAAAAAAAGAGGATTCCATAGCTATCCATTGAGCTCCGATGTACTGCATCTCGCACGGTCTTGAGTAACCTGTATCGAATCAATGGGACTCCAGCAGTACATATAATGGCTTGCCATTCAACCGTTTTCGACCCTGCAAAATTCACAATTGTCCAATGCATGCATGCTTAACCCTTCAGTGCAGTATACAGGATGAAGCTACATTTGAGAATAAAATACACACCTTTAGATCGGGTAATTCGATAACACATGCGCATTCATCTACATCCGCTCCAACTCGTGGCACAAATTAATTAATATATAAATATTAAAAAAAAAAGTAGGAAATCAATTTGATTAAAAGTAAAAAGTAGATTTCTACCTTATTTAATTTTCCTTTACAATTAAATATATATATCAAATTCTTTTTTTTACCAAAATCCTCTTATATTTTCTTCTTTTATATTAATAAAATTCTTCTCCTCTTAAGTAAATCATGATATTCATTATTTTTCTTTTTTGATCGTATTTATTTATTCACCGATAATCATGATTCAGATATATAATAGTCAGAACGTAACATACTCAGCTGTCTCTCATCTCTACTCTTTCTAAGATCGTATATTCTTTGTTTCTCCGTTTTCTTTTTCTTATCTGTTATACTGAATCATCAACAATGGCGGATACGAGGTCGTTCCTTCCGGTCTCTACCTCCGATGGCTCCATTCCTTCTGAGAGTCCTTCAAATCGCCGCAAACCCATGAAAGTGCAGCTCTCGATATTTTTTGGGTTGTTAGCTGTTAGGTTGTTGGCGGCTTTGCTGACAAGTGACAATGGGTCAGATTTCGTAACAGAAAACGAACATGGTTCATTGACTTCGTCGACCACCATCAAACCCGAACCGTTACGGCCGGTGTCACGCGGGCCGGCCGCCGGGGTATCAGAGAAAGCGAACCTGCTTTTCTTTAAAGAGAATACGGTAGCGTTTCTACGGAATAATAGCATGTTGTCAAGGCAAAGAACAGCTTTTCATTTCCAACCTGAAAGGAACTGGATGAATGGTATGGGAATGAAAATTTTCTGGTTTTATTTCGATTGTTTATATAGTTCCTTTGTTCATTGTATCTGTAAAAAGATCTGTAAAAAGCGAAAATGTATCATTAATCATAGGCATATTTGGCTTTTGACAACTAAGGTTATTGTATTTGGACTCATAAACAGCAAAAATGTCATGGCAATCAGTTCTGTATGATCTGAAGTAATTTCATGGCAATCTGTTCCTTAAAAGAATGTAAGGAAAAAACTTAAACGCCTTGATAATTAGTTTATGGCTTTCTGAAAATTTTTTAGTTGCAAATCATAACTGGTCCATTGTTCTACAGGGGATGGTATCATTTCTTCTACCAATACAATCCCCGTGCGGCTGTGTATGGTAAAATAGTTTGGGGTCATGCTGCATTCAAGGACTTGATCCATTGGCTTCACTTCCCATTGGCAATGGTTGCTGACCAGACATATGACACGAACGGCGTCTGGACTGATTCTGCAATGCTCCTCCCCGATGGCAAAATCGATATGCTATATACGGGATCCGATGCAAAGGATGTTCAAGTTCAAAACCTTGCTTATCTTGCTAACCACTCTGACTCTCTCCTTATCAATTGGGTCAAGTACGATGCGAACCCTGTTCTAGTTCCACCACCGGGCATCCTTAGCAAGGATTTCCGCGACCCTCCTGGTTGACCTTGGATGGGAAATGGTGCATTACCATAGGGTCGAAGATCAATAAAACCGGCATAGCTTTGGTGTATGATACTATGGACTTCATAAACTAGGAGAAGTTGGATGGTTACTGTTATGATCCTCAAGAAATAGAGAAGACAATAGGCGAAGAAAAGAAAAGATGAGAGAGTAGACGAGAGAATATATGATTTAGGATAAGGAATGTGGATTTTAGATAAGTAGAAGAAGAATTTTAAGAAGAGAATTTGTCATTCATTCCTCAAAAAAGTCCCCATGGAATCGGGTACAGATTATATAATTACAAGTACCACAGGTGTATGTACTGGAAATCTAACAAAATAACTAACTTGTGCTGACTCATGCAGGATCATATGCAGCTATTGCCACATTAGAATACAACCCGTGGTACGCCATTAACTAATCCCACCTCTTGCCTCATCTGACCCAATATCCTCCTCAATTCTGGTCCCAACAGTAAATCCTTCATATGGCAACCCATCCATCCCATTTCCATTTCCCTTCCCGTTCCAAATCCCTGATTTGCTCCCAATCCCTAATTGAATCGATTTCATCCCCAATTCCCTCTTTTTCAACCCTAATTTCTCTTTCATTATGACAATCAAAATTCCCCAATTCACTACGTGTAATCCCTACCTCAATCCCTAAT